TTGAAAGTAGCTTGATGTGGTTAATAAGTATTATCTTATTTAAAAACAAATGATCATTAATTAATACCACGATAACTACATAAATAATTTATCATTTTATCTACATTTTTTTATATATAAAAAATTATATTTTGTGAGAGATTTCCCTCAAATTATCATCTATTGACCATCATCTTATGCAATTTCGACGAACAAAGAATAATTGTGTTAGTTGAAATATGCTAATTTAAAAAAGCAATTATTAATGAATATTTATTATTATTATTTGATCAGTGAATATTTATTATTTTAAATCCCATTCGAAGACGGACGACTTTTTTTCGAACCAAGTCAAGGGGAACAATTTTATAGTGTGGTGATGCACCTACGCATGGCTAAAATGTTTGACTTGAAGGACTTGTAATAGCTAGTTATTGAAGTGGTTGAGTTGGTTGATCCAATGCTGAGAAATTTCCAAAGGAATAACGCCATTCATTTTTGGAGTCTATATTGAAGTGTGATAGTTGATCGTTATATTATCTTAGTTAAGTTCATTTTCGAGAGAAATAATGGCACGTGGTCAAAAACCTCATAATCTCACGTAAAAATCTATCGAAATAGTCTCTAAACACTTTCTTTTATCCACTTCATTCTTTTAATTATCAAAACAAAACACCATTCATTTTGACCATTTCTAGGTATCCACCAAGTCATATCGGTAGTGTTTTGAACATTTCTTGGTCTCCACATCCACGCCAATTTCCAATTTCTTGACTTTTGAATCCAAAAGTTCCTGTTAGGTGAGGCAAGGTACTCCTTCATCAATGATCATTTTCAAGGGAAACGCAAAATAGACTACGGTCGCCCTGTATAAGAAGATTGTGTAAAAATTTAGGGCTAATTATAAAATACTCCCTTGAACTTTGGGTCTTATTTCAATCAAGACCCTCTGATTTAAAATTGAATAACTTACACCCTTCAAGTTCTAAAATAAACAAGTTGACTGGTTAATTAGACAAAAATTTTAAGTTTACTTTTGTACCCTTGGTCTTTATTCATCTCCATTTGTTTTTCTTTTTTCTTTGTTCAATTGAGCCAAAATCTCTGATGCCACCATCTACAACCCATCGCAACCACCAACCACCAACCACCAACCACCAACCACCATAGCTACCAACATAAGTACAATCAACCAGCCTACAAACCACCATAGCCATCACCCAGTCACAACCACCGCAATTACTAACCACCGTAGCCTCAATCAATCAGCCAACAAATCAGTGTAGCCACCACCCAATCACTCAACCACAAACCACCGCAGACACCACCCAGCTAACTAGCCAACAACCCCCCACAGCTACCAACGTAGCCACAAACCATTGTAGCAACCACCTAGCCATCCAAACCACTACTTAACCACCTAGCCACAAAACCACAAAATCCACAGTGAAAAGGGACAAATTTTAGTGGGGATGGGTTTCAATTTCAATAGAGTAAAGGGAAAGGGGTGGGTTTCGGTCTTATTGGGGCTAGGGGGTGGGAGCGATTTGAGTTTTAGTTCAGTTGATGGAAAGGGATTAGGGAGTTAAAGGAATGGTGGAGGTGGATTTTCAGTTTCAATGGAAGGGTGGGAAGGATTAGGAAGTTGAGGGAAGGGAGGGGGTGGGTTTCAGTGGAGGGGGAAAAGATTTGGGTTTTTCACCCGGAGTTGGGTTTTCACTCGAATTGAGTTTTTTATTTTTCTTTTGATTTTTCATTTTTATTTTTATACAAAATATTAAGATAAAGGTAGTTGTGGGTTTTTGATTAATCTAAGTCATTTTTAACAATGGACAACTAATGGTAAGAGTTAATTAAAAATTATTCAAACATTATGGGGATAAATTATTCAATTTTAAACTAGAGGGAATTAACCCAAAAATTTATACGTCGAGACCCTTAATTTACGTTCTCCAACTAATCATTGTGAATGATGACTATTCATAACAAAAATTTGCGTAGTTTAAATCATGGATGATTGGGAAAATTTGAAGATCCAAAATAAATTTGGCATGTATGAGTTTCCAGTCACCTTATATGAAAAAAATTGTAAAAATTCATAAGTCAAGACTCTTAATTTATGTCCTCCAACTAATCATCGTTCATGACTTGTGACTTTTGAGTGATTATTATTCACAATTAAAATTCACGTAATTTAAACCATGGATGATTGAAAAAATCTAAAGACCTAAAATAAATTTGACATGTATGATCTATAATTGTCCTATATGGAAAGATTATAAAAATTTATAATTCGAGACCATTAATTTACGTCCTCCAACTAATTATTGTGCATGACTTGTGACTGATGATTATTCACAACTAAAAGTTTTTTTGTTTAAATCCATATTGGAAAAATCTGAAGAATAATAAGCAACCAAGTGAGAGAATGCAAAGTAGAACAATTTTTTTCAAACTTATTCCCAAATTTCAAGATAATGTGGACATCCACACAAGGATAATGTGAAGAATAATAAGCAACCAAGTGATTTGTCAGCCAATTGCATCAACCACACAAGGATATTGTCCTTTTTTTATATTCAATGTAGGTGTTTATTTCCACATTTTCTTGTCAATTATTGCTGCCAAATATAGAATCAATTGGCCACATGATAAGGGGCTAAGAATTCTTCATCCTCTTACTCACTCCATAATTGTATCAATGTACACTGGATTTGTCAAACAATTGTATAAACTACACAACTAAGTTAACTCATAATCTTTAGGGGGAGTTTGGTAATTGGGTCTGATATTAAATAATTTAGAGGTCTCATGTTCAATTATTTTTCCACACTCCAGAAGAGCTAGTCACTCTTATTCGTTAAAGGATATGCTATAATTTAACTCAAACTATGATAGTCAGCCGCTGAACTTGAGAGAATAGTTAACACAAGCCTAAATATCCTATAACCAAAAAAAAACTAACTCATCATTGCCAATATAACAAGTTAATTTGTTTCAATCGACCCATTTTGTTAATATTAATTGTTGAATTAGAAAATTAGTTGTTAATCTTATCAAAATTTCTCTCTTTTTATCGGTTAATCTTAACAAGATCTTTCTCAATTATCAGTTAATCTTTAGAGAATCACTATAGTGTGTTTACTATTATGCTAATTACTAATTAATTGTAATAGTTACAGCTCTACATACTACGAGGGTAAAATAGTCATTGTAATACAAAAGGGTTTACTACTTTACTGATTTCCACCGAGGAGCATCTCCAATTCTTCCTCTTTTTAAACCAAAATTTAAATTTGGCTAAAAACTTCTTAAAAAAAAATTAAATGTTAGATTCATACCCATATTAAATAAAGGCAGACTCATTTTTTACTTAAATCCATACTTAAATCTGTAATTGTGAGATTACACATTTCTTCAAAGGTTCAATAGTCAAAATTTACTATTTTTTAAATATAGATTTATCCTTATTTAAATTTGAGTTTTTTCAAGTCTATACCAAATCAAATTTTTTTTTTAATCATTTTTAGGGCTAATAGCAAATTAGACCCCAAAAAATCTTTTAAATTTTAATTTATACCCTCAAAGATAAAAAATCTTAATTTGCACCCTCAAAGATAAACATTTGTATCAATACGTACCTAAAACTAACAGCCTTCAGTTTGCCGTCTAAAATTAAATGGATAAATTATATCTAAATCCCTCATACTTGTCACTTAATTATTTGGACCTCCTAATATTTATAATATTACTCATTTACCTCCTAACGTTTATGCGCGTGCAACAAATAACCCCATTGTAATTAATATTCATTAATATAATCGTTAAAAAATATGATTTCATCATAATAAAAATTTATAATTTTCATACTATCCTTTATTTTGTAGGCCGTTATACTCTAAAGTTCAAAATCAAGTTTACCATTTGCATATTCAATATCATGCAATTATTTATATAGTGTTCTTTATATCCAATGCAATACATTATTTAAAAAGAATTATTTGGATGCCTAATTGGGAGAACATTTAGTCATATTTGGATTCAAAAGGGATGTAGATATAATATTTCAAAGGGGTCTAGGTGATTAAGTGACAAGTATGAAGGAATTTAAGTGTAATTTATCTATTTAGTTCTAGACAGCAAACTGACAACTATTAATTTGAGGTGCACATTAATACAAATTTTTATTTTTGAGGGTGTATATTAACATTTTTTATCTATGAGGATACAAATTAAAATTCAAAAGATCTTTCAGGATGCAATTTGAGATAAGTAATGCTATTGAGATTTAATTTAGTGATTTAATTTGCTGACCTAATTCACTTTGATTTTTGAATTGGTTGTGAGTTCTATCAAATATTAAAATTTTGTGTTAATCTAATGATTCTAATAAAATTACATTATTATATTAACAAATTATGTCAAATTTTTAAATCTAAATAACATTAGTCATTTGAAATTAACCCTTTTTTTCTATATTGGAAATGGTAACCAACATTAAAAGATAAAATACCCGGTCAATGGTGGGCATGGTCATTTTCATCAGCCAAAAACAAGAGAAAAAAATATTATAAATCATACTATGACCAAAAAGATTTGACTCCCGATCTCCTCCTTCATAGTCGCTCAACCAATGTAGTGAACACAGTCAAAGACCAAAAACGCTCAAAATTCAAAACTGTAAGTAAAGACCAAGTCATTTTCCTTCTCTCTCATCTTTCAGTTCTTAAAGAGAGATTGGGGCCTCTTTGAAAAAACTAGATTGTTCCACAAGCAAAACCTTTCTCTGCATTCTCAAACTTTCTTTGCTGGTTTTATTCATCTGGGTTTTGTAGCCAATCAATGTCTCCACAAACCCAGTAAGAGAGAGATTGGGTCTCTTTGAATAACCAGTTTGTTCCACAAACCAAACCTTACTCTGCATTCTCAGACTCTCTCTGCTGGTTTTATTCATCTGGGTTTTGTAGCCAATCATTCATTGTCTCTACAAACCCAGAAAGAGAAAAAGGTCTTGAGAGATGATGGGTTATTATCAGCTAGCTGGGTCGCCTTTTTGTCAAGACTCTCTCAAGGTTCTCGAGGCTGATATTGAGCATGCCAATATGCTGTGAGTACTCTCTCTCTCTCTCTGTGTGTGTGTTAATTTCATGGGTTGATGTGTGGACATACAGAGAGAAATTAGTTGTATTTGAAATTATGTGAAAATTTAATTAAATATTGTAGGTTTTTTCTACAGAAATTTGTCTTTTAACATATACTAGGGGTAAACCGCAATGTAAGAAGTGATGGATGGGGGGAGAATTCATTGATTTTGAAAGATGTTAGTAGATTGGATGAGTCAGATGAGCTTATCTTTGAGTGCCTTGCTATACTTTGGGTAAAGTTGCCTTTTTTGTGCTGTATATTAAAATTCAGAAAGATTGCAGTTCTGTATGAAATTCCCTGAATAAACATTTTTTTCCGCTTTCTTAAAGTTGGGTTGTGGTTGAATTTACGAAATGAAAAATACATAAAAAGGTATATGCTTTGGATGGTTACTATTAACATTCCCAATTATGTCGTACAAAATGAGAATGGTTAGTATCAATATGATTAATTATCGCAGCTGACACAACCGCCTCTTCCTGCTGCGATGGCGTTGCACGAAACCAAACCACCCCACCCGATCAAGTACCAGACCAGTTGCTTCACTGGTAGGTAGGTTAGGGGCATTGTCCCTCAGTTCTTACCAACCCTAATCGACATGTTGCTAGCTTTAACTCGGTCGAATAAGAATCATTGATTCCCTAATAGAATTTTGGGTTGGCGTGTTCACTCATTTAATTGCTATGTCCATTTGAAACATTTGAAATTCAATAAGCATGCTGTTGAATTTGGGAAGCGGATAGTTCTTAGGGAGTTTGTGTGTGTGCACACTCGTATACGCCTACTTATTTGCTGCTTCTTTTTTTTTCCTGTTTCATTGGTGAATCTAAAATTTTATTTTTCTTTCGTTTGTAATTTTAAGTTCGTGAATTCACTTGAGCCTTTATGGTGAAGAATTAGGCGATTAAACTTTTAGGAGGATATTTTTGTGGCTGGTTGCCTGAAATAATTGTGCTTTGCTGGTTCCTGTGAATGATGTTTATAGGGCAGCTTCAGTTCCGATAGGCAAAGGAGGTGCATGTCTTCAAATAAAATTGGTCTACAATCCTTTGGCACCTATAGTTTTGTTTTTGCTACAATGGATGGATCGCTCATGTACATGCTTACTTCCAAGTTATACGAACCTATTCCACATAGTTGTATGCCAGGTCAATTCCCTTCTTGCTTACTTACATTCTTTTGATAAGAAATGTTGGTCTTCATTTGTTCTTTATAGCGAAGTAAGACACTCGCTTTCGCTCTCAATTTATGATTCCTTATGCTTTTCAGGTGTGCCGTGATGGTGAGACAATGTTTACTTCACATGGAAGGAAAGCATCGATTACAGAATTCTATGGTATGAAATTCTTCAATTCATTATGTAGCCCTTTTTTTGGGAAGAGTCAATTTATCTTAGTCATAGGATTTGTAACGAATATATTCTATTTTATGCCCGTGTGATGCCTAGTTGACCTGTTATTTTTTACATTTACTTTAGTTAATCTCATCACATGTTTGGTGCCATTTTCATATCAATGAAGGAAATAGTTTCACTTGTAAATGTTGTGCAATAATTGTGTGGTTGATTTTTTGTTGTTTGCTTTGTGGGGTATATTTATTTTTGCACAGTCTAACAGAATGAAATTGCAGCTGTCATACTACCATCTCTTCAGCGTCTTCATGATAACGCATCAAAGCTCGAGATTTACCAAGATGAAGGTCAAGGCTGGGAGATGGTTGTCAGGAAGAAACTAAATGACGAGCGAAAGCATTCAAACTCTGACATGGAGAGAGATGATGAATGTGGGATCTGCTTAGAGCCCTGCACCAAAATGGTTCTGCCCAAATGTTGTCATGCAATGTGCATCAATTGCTATCGTGACTGGTAAATATAAACATTTTTGTGCCTTATTTTGTCTCCCATTTGGCTAATTTTTAATGCGCAATGTTGGAAAAAAATTTTGGTGTCGTTAATTTTTTTTCCTTTTCCCCTCACTATCTCTGTTGCAGGAGCATGAAGTCGGAGTCGTGCCCATTTTGCCGGGGTAGTTTGAAGAGAGTGAAATCAGGGGACTTGTGGGTTCTCACATGCAATGAGGATGTGGTTGATCAAGAGACAGTGTCAAGGGAGGACATGTTGCGGTTCTATCTCTACATAAACAGCCTGCCTAAAGATATTCCCGATGCTGTTTCCTTACTCTATTATGAGGATTTAATCTGATCTGATTTAAATGTGAAGAATGTTGTACAGAAAGAGGAAAATTGCCGACCATCCTATGTGAAGAGAGTCTGGTGAGGTTCTTGAATTTTAGTCTCTTATGGATTGAACAGCCTGCTTGCAATTAATCTTTGTGCAGAATAATGTAACTTCTCGGTGTAAAGAACCAATGGCTAATCTAAATCATTTGTCTAATTTCAAATGTGAATTTATTTTCTGGTTGTTGTATTTTTTTCCATGGTGAGTGCTTTCTGATTGTTCTGGTACGTATTGCTCTAGCTCATACAACTTGAAGATATGGGCCAAAACCTCTCATTCTCATAGTATAAACATTGCAAGGGTCTACTAGTTAACACAGTTCACAATGCCCCAACCACTAAGGAAGCATGCAAATTTATCGAAAGGACTGCGTAGACAAAAATAAAAATAATAACAATCTTTTACTTCCTTTCTGTAGGCTATGTTTACATACAGTCTGTTCAGTTGGCATGCCTAGCTTGAAGTTGAAATTGCCATCCAGCTTAATTTTAATATGAAATTAGCATATTGTATCTGTGACAAGTAGCGTAAGTTTCTGAGATAGGTATTGTATGCTCAATTTAGCTTCCTGAAGCCTCGGCTGAATTGCGTGTTACCTTTTTTTACCCTGTAGCGTATTTGTTTAGTTCTATTGGTGCTTATTTTGTGATGTTAGTTCAGTAACTGTCCAATACTAGCTATATCTATCATAATTAAGCTCTGACTTCATTAAGCTGCGCTAAGATAGCTAGAGTTTCATTTTGTATTTAAGCGAATAACTGGTTCAATGGTAGAATCAGAAATTTTATGGTATGCCTTCCACAAAGTGGCCTTGTCGAATGTTTGGATGTTTTACTGAAACAGTGAAGCCACTTTTAAATATTTGAATGCTGTGATATGTCTGAGATGTAACTTTTGCACTATATTTGTAGACAGCTTCGCGACATATTTTCATTAATTCTTTCTTTTTTTTTAAAAAAAACACCCCTTTTATTTCTACAATTGCTTGATTGAAGATGAGTATTTGTATTTCTGCCCCCCCTCCTCCCCCGCCCCTGCCCCTTCCTCTGGGAGCCCAAAAAAAGAGCAGTGGTTTACATAAAATCATATCCGATCAATCTGCAGATTGCATAGCCTTCTATCCATATAGAGGGGAGGAGTCTGTGTGATAGTCCCATAGATAGGTGTTGTGATAGTCCAAGGATGAGCGACCTCTCGAACTATGCTTTCCATCATGAAACAACATACCACATAGTAGTGAACATTTCTTGGTGTAGCATAAGGTTATGATTGGTGGCATTGTTGACTGTTAGAGAATATAAAGAATGGAAAGCATGTGTTTGGCGGGTCTCTGACTTGAGCATGTAATGTGTAACTGTTTGACAACTTAGAAGTTCTTTGTAAACAAGCTAATTTCTGGCTGTAGATAAGGTTCTAGATTTTTTTGTGGAAATTCATGGGAGGGTAGGACTGGTATAAAGTTGTCATTGAGTTCATCCTAGAGAGTTGTTCCAAAAAAAAGATAAAAAAATTTTGAAATGCAGGAGGGATAAAAATATTTGAATGTTTCACCTGATCTTAGCACAACTAGGTGTGGCATTGCGGGTTTGAGGCGCAAAAACATCCTCTCAACACGAGGGGTAAATTGTGTGCATAGAATCATTATCAGACTCGACAATGGTAGCAGTTTCGTGAACTGGACTTTTTAGGGAAATTCATTGGATATTGTCAGTGTGCTAATAGATGTCCTTATACCCTTTACCAATATTTCAAATAAGAGTCTGCTCAATGAGTAATCCAGCCATGTACCAAGAAACAGTAGTAAATCCATTGCACAGTTAAGCAGCACGAAACAGGCAACATAAACTTGTCCACAAAGGGCCATAGCCATACCTCTTTTCTAATTACACACAATGCACCAGAGTCCACTCCATAACATTCAGAGGTGCCACGCCACAGAAAACCATTCCAAACATACATTTGCCCTATCTAGCAAATAACACTACAGAATCTGGCAGATAGCACAAACGGGGTTTGTATCTCCTCCAATATCATATCCCTCTAGTTTCCTCGAAAGTGAATTATACCAAGAAACTAAATTTTATTTCGAAACGATTGAAACGTTTTTGTTTCCATAAAAATCGAAAATGAATTATTAATTGAATATTAAATTTTCGGTAAATTTTAATGTGTTTTTGACCTATGTTTCAAAATGTTTCGACCAATATTTTGAAAATAAATTTTTATATTATTTATGTTTATGAAACGTTTTCCATTTTTAAACTTATCAAAACTATGCATCAAAACGAAATTTTGATCCTTAGATTACACAAATACCCAATAGTGGGTCTGCCAACAACACAAGGTGGGTGATGGTCCATTGAAGGAAGTTGAGGAAATTTACCTTGGAGGAGATCTGGATTCGCCAGACTGCCCAATCCCCACCCCCCCAACATACGCACACAAAAAACAAAAAAAAACCAAAAAAAGGCGGCAAAAGGACAACGAAGAGAAAGGACAAACATAAAGGCAAGAACACACCTGGTGTAGACAAGGGACCTATAAGGACACCAGCATTTGTACTATCAATTGGTAAGCATTTGTCATTTACATCTCTACTTTTGAAAGATTTGTGAGGGTAACTACTGAATATTTCTGCTAGCAGACTGCGCCCTCGACTCTAAGAAGAGTCTTATGGAAGAGAAGATGAGTGAAGTTTAAGCCATTGCACCATTTCCATAATCCCCACAAGCTAGCCTCTTTGTTACAGGTGTGATGAGAGAAATTCCGAGCTCCTCAATTATCATAAGATACCGTTTGTGAAAGGATTGTTCCACATGAAAGTGTTCATGGCTGGTGCTATAAAAAATGGTTTACTGTAGTCCCACGCTGGCACAATGCAGGTCAGCAAGTTATCGCACAATTTCCCTGCAATCTACAGTTACAAAAAAAATGAAATTTACAGTTGATCAAGCCATATTAAACATTAACAGAAACACCCCTCTCGGAATGAAGCCCATAAGGACCAAGAAAGTCATTTCAAGCAATAT